TTCATTAAGCCCATACTCGCAACCATACTGCCGAATCTGGGTGGCATCAAACACGATCACATCAAGCAGGCTCATGCATATGGTAGATCCTTCGAATCACTTTTAGTAGATTGTATACAGATGAATCTAATTTCTCTTTACAATTGCAGCTATTGGACACTTTAGTGAAGCTCTACTGGAGCAATCATCAGCACATGGCGCAGCAGCTGTCGTCTCAACCGCAACTAGCCCCATTAATGGCGAAATGGAGTCCGCTTCGGACGCACCAACGCAAAATGCAGACGGCAAAGGCGATTGTGCTACCGAAATTTCTGTTGCTTACGATGTGCTTTTCAATCAATGGCTGCATTCGCGTGAACCCAAAGTATGTGTCGAAATACTGCAAGCGCTTTCTTCAATGTACCCACTGCTGCCTGTCGATAAGATACAAGACCAGTCTCCGCGTTTAATACCACAAATATTGGCCTTATACCGCCGCTCCATCGAGCGAAACTCAGTGACACAATTCCTCTCGTCGGTATTGAAAACAAACATAGCACTGCAGCCGTCAGTGCTAGATGCGGTAGCCGATCAATTGATTTCAAATCTCTTCGATTTGGTGTGCGTATTCCCAGACTATGAAAAGCCACAGACTGTAAAGGGGCATTATGAAGTGTTACGTTGTTTTCATCTGCTGTCAGGCATTTATGCATCGAAAATTGTTGACACCTTATTGATACACTTACGCAATAACAGCGAAAGAGATCGTATTAAATCGCTATTGATACTCACTCATCTGATGAATACGTCCACAGCGTATATCGAAGATAAAATGCAAGGTTTCTTGGAGTGTCTCAAATCGATGATCATGACGGAAAAGGGAATCAAAATGAAGATGACTTTGCTGAAGGCCATAGTGGCATTATCGCAAAAAGGTTTTATCAAAGAGAAGGAGTTCGTTTGGTTTTTAGTACGCTACAGTTGTAAATACACGAAGGTGAACCAAGAGCACGGATCGCTGGAGGAACACGCAAATTTTGTACTCTCGTGTGAGAACTCTCTTTTTATGCTGTCGTCCACTGTTAGCACAATGGACGAATTGTTGAAGCGCGAGCTGCTTAATTACTTCGTATTGTTGGACTACACTGATATATGCTCGAACCTGGCCAAATGTTTAGGCAGCCTTTTTGCCAAGTCGCCAAGCATCGAGTATGAAATTGCGGCTGACGATGAGACCGAGGAAAGGGCCGACGGCGCTGGGGAAGAGCATGGTAAGGAAAGTAGCCACACTAATATCAAATGCGGAAAAATAATTGTACCATACCCAGAATCAATATTTGCAAGATGTCTAGCGCTTTTAGGCAATTTTCATTGTATAAAACGCTCCTCGAACATATTGTCATTCTTAAAATATTATTATCCGCATTTGAACCCAGTTCTGAATACACTGTGGGATGAGCGCGTCCCCGACCTGTTGCTACACATTAATAAGGAGCCGGTTTTCTCACGCAAGCTAAAAGATTTCATCTCTGAATCAGTGGAATTCCTGAATACTCATGATGAGAATTTCGCCGAACGGCTGGTTAACAAAATGTCAGATCAGTTGAATCTCTATCCAATAAACACGCCACACACCGAATTTGTAACGCCCACCCTATCTATCGAGCGAGGTATGTTGTTGAAATCGCTCGGCTTGGCACTATGTTTTGTCAGCGAATTGCAGACGATAAATGGGAAAATCGATTTGATCATTAATTCCGCACGGCAAGAAAAGCTCGACAAGCATATAAAGCATGCAGAGTATGATCAGAAAATCGCCCCGTGTTCTTTGGCGCTGGGTTACATTTCTCGCAAGCATCTGTTCCATTTAATTAAAAAATTGGCTGAACTGGCACACATTGGTGGTCGCAAGCACTCGACTGGCTTTTTCAGCAATTTGCACTTTATCAAAGACACTCATAAGGAGCAGGAAATGTACAAGACGAATTTGCTGGTAATCAAGTCATTCGGGCACATATTGGATGAATCGGATCCCTTGCAGTCGCTGCAGAACCTCGACGATACAATACTAAATTTTCTAATCATGCAGTTGACAGGCACGAAAGATCAGACAATTATGTCTGCCATTCTGAAGACTCTACTAAGCATTTGTAATCAAATAATTGCGACGAAAGAGCAAATGACTGCGCCGCTAAAGTATCGGAAGCAGATAATGGAGGCGGTATTCAGCATACCAATTGAAGCGCCGTTCAATGATTTACCGTTATTGCCAACAATTTTAAAACTGGGCACCGATTTCATACGCATAGGTAAATTGTGCTCTACATTTTTAGGTCATCTTATTTTAAATCATAGTTGTAGATGGCGAGCTCTGACGACACATTTCACATCGAAATTAAAACAAAAAATCCTGAAAATTATCGTTTTCCGCTCAAATATTTCACGGTGCACTAATTCCAATACATATATGCAGAAATGTATACCTTCCTGATTATTAGGTTATCTGGTTATGTGATTATTATTCTTCAGTGAACTTCATTGTTGGAAATCACATAAAAAAAATATGGCCAGAAAAAAACATGTATATCTAAATACATACAAATTTACGTACGATATTTCACCTTTATAACTCGCCCAATCTATTTTTATGTATTTTTATTTGCAGGAGGAGTCGATGCCACAGAATCAGTTGACGGCAGTGTTATCTTCGAAATTGCTTGCAAGAATTTCTTCTCATGTGCACAGCATTTGAAAATTAAATTTGATTCACCGGAGGAAGATGAACGTAATAGTTTTCTGGCGAAGCACTTGAATGAATCACTACCGGAATTAAATGCCCTCGCAAAAGCGATCATAGAAACGGATCCATCTCCTTCGACACTCGATCTAATCATTTCGATTTTGGAGACCTGGACTAGGGATAAAAACTCAGAAGTTCGCATATGTGCTTCACATGTTTTCAATAATGCGCTGGAAGTGTATATAAAATCAATGAAAATAGGATGTGAGGCTCCTTCAAAATTCAATCAAACTGGTCAGATGTTAGGTAAAATTGTGCCCCGTTGCATTGATTCAAACGGCACAGTTCGGCAGGTATCCGTGGATATTTTACAAAAGACACTCGAAATATCGTGTATATATGAAACGCTAACCATTGCTGACAGCGAGTCGGATTGGGTCAAGGATATCGAATTGGTAAAGGAGAAAATCATCACAGATGATCCAAAAATGATTTACAATTTAGCTGGCGAAATAGCTAAAATCATCGCTTTGCGTATGTCGAATTTTCAGTATTTACAATTTTGGTAAGTATGAAAAAACAAGACATAGAAAGACTGCAATTATTGTCCGTACAAACTAAGTTGATCATCATTGAGATTTCTTGCAGCAGTGCTGCATTTCTTTTTGATCGGGGCTAGTATTAGAACCCAAATCTGTATTTTTGGAGGCTTCATCCCAATCTTCTCGTCAGAGGGCTGTGGACAGAGCCATTTGAAGGCCTACTCAGGCCACACCAAGCGTTTTAGGCGTTATAGCTTGCAGCGCTCACGACGCAATATAAATCTTTATAGGCTGTATAAAGTGCTGGAAATCTGAAAAGCGGGCACCTGAAAAGCCGATTACCCCTCACGACAAATTCCGCAACGGTTCCGGTACGGGTTATAACCCAGTGGACCTCCACCGTCTCGTATAGAGCGGTACATGGGCTGGCCCCTACTACTAGCCTACTAGAACTCAACATATTCATGAGTAAGATAACGGGGAAAGCCGTATTTATGACCATAACTGCGAAACCAACCTCGATCGCAACTCAAACTCCAAACCTTAACTTGGACCTTGTGAGTTTTGCCAGCTTCCAAGTGGTGCATGCAGATCGCGTTGTTGTTGTCGTTGTACCGCCTACTCAGCCCTGCCAAGATCGGCTTGTCTCTCAATCGATGTCGTCAAGCTCAACTAACGGGAGACACCGGAAGCCTGCAACTCCGACTGGGTTTCCCCATAGGGTGTTAGTTACGTGGGGTTCTAGGGTGCATTCGAAGAGATTTCTTGAGTCATGGGGTTTCTCTCCACATGCCGCTCACTCGTTGAGTACATCTGCATCTAACCTGCTCAAGTAAGAGTTTAGTCTGCTGCAGTAGCCAAAGCGAAGTTGGTCTGTAGTGGCGCAAGTCCCCCGAGGCAGGCGAAACTCTATCGCGCCCACGTCATGTGTTGTGTTCCTAAAACGGCATTCGCAGGCCGAGAGTCGGTGTAATTCGAGACCGACTCCCTTTGAATGCCGTTTGTGGACTGTAGGTATACTGTCAGGTCCACAGGTTGCTTTATAAACCTCTGGACTTCGTCCGTCTGTTAGTATAGATGCCTTTTAAAGTGCCTTGACTATGCTGCAAAGAGGTGTCAATGATTGACAAGAGATTTTGGGATATACACTGTGGGTTTTGGTTAATAACTACTATACAGGATTAGTAATAGAACGATACGAGTACAAAATATCGAGTACTGTTGAGTACTGAGTAGTATCGCGACCTCAATACTTTTTGCGATACTTTCTGACAAGAACAGAGTAGTTATCGCGAATACCAAAAGTATCGAAGTGTTGAAACATTAGCTCTGATCCAGTACTCCATGAACTTACAGAATTTTACACGAACTTGCAGGAAGTTGCAGGAAAAATGTTCCCGTACTCCAAAATCCTGTAAATGAGAGTGACTTTTGGAGAGTTGTGTAGAGAATGAAGTTGCAAGATTTTACCCGAACTTTTTCTTCTGGTAAAATCATGAAATGTGTCAAGCAATCACTGGTTGATGTTTTTACAGGAAAAATGGATTTTTTGTTCCCGTACTTTTTGTTGTTACTCACTTTTTACTCTCACTTCAGAGAGTAATTTTGCTGTTTGACAGTTTTACAGGATTTTTCACGAAAAGTATTGGATCAGAGCTATTTTTTATTCAGTTGCATACAATTTTTTTTTTATTACACAGTGGTGGAAGAAGTAGTAGCTCTGATCCAATACTTTTCGTGAAAAATCCTGTAAAACTGTCAAACAGCAAAATTACTCTCTGAAGTGAGAGTAAAAAGTGAGTAACAACACAGTGGTGGAAGAAGTAGTAGCTCTGATCCAATACTTTTCGTGAAAAATCCTGTAAAACTGTCAAACAGCAAAATTACTGTCTGAAGTGAGAGTAAAAAGTGGGTAACAACAAAAAGTACGGGAACAAAAAATCCATTTTTCCTGTAAAAACATCAACCAGTGATTGCTTGACACTTTTCATGATTTTACCAGAAGAAAAAGTTCCGGTAAAATCTTGCAACTTCATTCTCTACACAACTCTCCAAAAGTCGCTCTCATTTACAGGATTTTGGAGGATTTCGGAGTACGGGAATATTTTTCCTGCAACTTCCTGCAAGTTCGTGTAAAATCCCGTAAGTTTATGGAGTACTGGATCAGAGCTAGTAGAAACTTTCTACTTTGACCAATTTTGGCTATATTTCTTTTGTTTATGCGAGTTTTATACTTTTTTTAAAAAGTCTAGCGCATTATACATATAACAAGCACCATATGAATCCACATTTCAAACTTTGTAAAATAATTACAAAAAGTGAACAAATTTTACCAAAATCCCCCAAAAATTTCTACTTTTTATTTAGAAATTTTAGAAAGACTTAAAGTATGCAGTTTTATGGCTCATTAAATTTAGTGTGATAAAGTGCAAGTGTCAAGAAGCTAGAAAATCGCGTTAATTTGTATTACTTTTTTTCTGACGCTGTTGGGCATTTTCGTCCACATAAATCGAATCAACGTGATTTTCCCGCGTCTTGAAACTGGCACTTTATCCTACTGTGGAGCTACTTTAGCCAAGAATACACTCTGCATCCTTCTGTGGACAAAGCCAAGCGCCTATTAGTTTTCAATAGCGGTGAGTACGGGTGACCATCGATGCGAAAGACCAATGCGACGAAAGGGCAAGGGCAATGTGGTGCAGTAGGAAAATACATCGTTGCCTGTCTCATCGCATTTATCTTTCGTATCTCATTAAAGAGAAGTTCCCAGGTATTGACGGCGTACCAATTCAGACACTGAACAATGCAAAAATCCTCGGTGTAACCGTCGATAGCCAGGTCCCAAGGCGAAATTGCTTTGCCTGAGCCCGCATCGCGGCATTCGTGATAAATGATTTCTGGTATGGAATCGAATCGAATTAAATCTCAGCAAGACCAGTTTCGGGTAAATACATGTGATTTAACCGAGTGCTCTACCATAGATATCAATAAAAGTTTCTATGACCCTGCAAAAATCGCGACTACTCCATGCATGCATGTAAAGAGTACTCCCGAAGGACCAAGGAGTACTCCAAAATTATCTCTGCATTACATCAGCGTAGCACAAAACTACTCCTAACATACTCCAATGACATTGTCGTTATATTTTTTCGTTTGTACACGCTTTTGTTCTTCACTTCGCAGATGCCTTTTTTGAAATGAATAAAAACCAAAAACAAAAATTAAAATTACATGTTGCCTCTGACGACATTCGAACCCGAACATGCTGGGAGCTAAGAACTAACAGCTAGCATCTCTACACGTTCAGTTACAGCCAGATATGCAAATGTACTTTTAAATGCTGAACTTCAATCACATTTCGTTAAAACACGAGCAGTGATCGGGTAACAATAAGCTGGTGCAAAGACACGAGTAGGTCCGCTACAGCATGACAGAGGAGCACTTTTGTAAGTACTCCAATATACCACAAATAGACTACATGGTCCAACGATTTTTGCAGGAGGGTTTCTTAAGGCCAAGTTGCCAAATCCACCCGAAACTCTTCTGTCATTGTGTTTTGTTTTTGTTTTTCTTAGCTGCAAAATTTATGCAAAATGTAGGTTCTTCCTAAAAATTAATAAGTTTTTGTATTAAATTAGGGATATACACATTGATAAACTTTACTTTTCGTACTCAGAAAAAATGCAGGTTTTGATTTGTGAGCTAGTTTCGATAAATTTCCGATAAAAATTAGAGACGGCACCGATTTGTTCGTAATTCGCATGGTAATTGGATCTGAATTACCAACAAATGAGGTAATTCGCTCTCAAAATTTTGTATGGCGAATTACGAATGAGAGCGCGAACTACGTAATTGGGGTGCCGTGGGACAGCCGTATTAGGCGTTCAGATAGAACTTCTTTTCGTTTAGAACTACAGAATAAAGGTCCTGATTTCTTCCGCTGCGCACACAATCCCAATTGCCAATACAAAATAATAATGTCCAGCCTGTTCTAAATTATGCAGCGTCAGTGTGGCCGCCGGGGACAAGTAGGACGCAGTAGACGAAGCTACAGACCTGCCACAATACAAGATTCCGGACATGCTCCCAGTGAGGAAGCACAACATCATGTTGCAGTTCTTAGTAGGCTGTTAAACTAGACCCGGCACTGTATAGGCAGGCAATGACACTGAAAATAATGTCCACGTCGTTGTTTGATTTGTTCATGCTCTTTTCCGGTAAAAGTTATAGGGTAAATAAATTTCTCTCTATCAAACAAACCCCCTTATTCTAGAACCCGAATTTTCGTAATTCGTCAAAACGAAAAATCCACATGCTGCAACCCTTGCGGAAACATGTGCAGCATTCCCAGCTGTCAGTTGTTTTTCGAAGACAGCTGAATGAAGGAAAACAAAGTGGAAAGGAATTAAAAAAACACTTATGAAACGCTTATTTATAGTAATTGTTTTTACATATTTTGGAGGAAACGATGGATTATATTGCATTTGCAATTATAGCAGCGGAATAAGGGCGCGCTATGGGAATGATTTCCTTAAAAAATGCTAGTTTGAAAATAAAAAAAGGCTAGAAAAAAGCCATGAAAGCTAAATTCTAAATTTCGATAAAGAAAAGAGTTAGATCTAGCCTCAAAAAAGCTAAACTGGCAACACTAATGGCAGTAAGTATAAAATTTGCAAATGCAATTCCAACTGTAAGTCCAAGACCCAAGGATGCATTTACGTGCGATATATTCTACCAGATCTGATGGGGATTTGATTCAGCAAATGATTTCATAATCAGGGCTATCACGGAATCCATCGTAGAAAATCTACGAATTTGAATGCCTGCTACGAATACGAAAAAATTGCTATCACTGATTCCGAGTGAACTCGAAAATATCGTTGCCAGCTTCGATTGTTGATTCGAAATCAGCAAGTGCATAGGAAACAATAGACATTTATGTATGCCATTTTGCTCACGCTGCCCCAGCAGTCGCAATGGCCGAGTGAGCAAAGCACTAGACTGCCAATTGGGAGATCCGAGTTCGAGTCTGAGTCGTCGGCAGTGGAGCTTTTTTCTTTTTTTATAAAATTTTTTTATTTTTTTATTTTTTTTTTTAGTTTAGATCTTATTCTTTTAAAGAGAAACATTTTTTTTTTAAATAATTTAAATTTGTATTTTTTTAAATAAATTTATATGATATTAAAGTAATTAGATTTCTTTCCTAATAAATTGTTGTTACACTATTATTTCCTCGCTTCAAAAAAAACATTCATTAAATAGCGTCTAGCAGATGAATATATGAATGTACATACGTAGGTATGTATGCCATTTATATTTTACGTCTACGTTTACACAAATATATGGAATTATATCAAACTATAAAAAATATGGAGTATAATAAATATTTATTATTAACAATAATGCAGCTTTTCACCGTTATTTTTAAGATTCAGTGATTTTAAATTTTCTTCCGACAGCATAAACTCGTCGTAGTGTATCTGTACGAATATTCATAACGAACGGATTCAATGAATGCTCTCTACGAATTTCGAATTTACGTTCGTAGCCATTCGGATTCTGTGATAGCACTTTCGTAGGTTTCACGAAAATCGAAGCTACGATGGATTCTGTGGTAGCCCTGATTAAGTATTGAAAACCAGTGAAGTTTTATAATCGAGCACCCTAGTATACAGGTTTATGTTTTCCCAAAATATTCAGCCTTATCGTGAGTTTCACCCGAAATTTTTTCATCCGCCCATAATGAATACACGGAAACGTAAAGTGAAAAATGAACCGGTTAGGGGAAAATGAAATTCATGATAAGGCTGAATGTGACATTAGTTACCAGCTAAGTACTACATGAGCAAACATTTTCGTTCTTTTATTATAAATTATCATGCTTACATATTAGA